GAGTTTCGGGTAGGAGCCCCTTTGTCTCCGCATACTGGGCCAGCCTGGCGTTAATGACCCTAGCAAACACTTTACCAGGAATGGACGACAACAAGATGCCTCTCCAACGTTTGCATAGCGTTAAGTCACCCTTTTTGGGCAAGGGAACTAAAAACGCCTCCTTCCACTCCTCCGGCATAGCATCAACACCTGTCCATACACGCACAAAAAATTCATGTAGCGCTCTCAAGTTAGTAGCATCCATCGCGCTTAAAAGTTCAGCCTCAATTCCGTCCGGACCAGCTGCCCTGCCCAACTTCAGGCGACCTACGGCTGAAAGCGTCTCTTCAAAACTCGGTGCGTCATCCAAACTTAAATCAGGCACAATTCTGGCAATCTTGTCCATTTGGTGCATCTTTACATTCGTGGGGACATTCAACAAGTCTTTAAAATATTCTCGCCACCGGCAAATCCTTCCTGACCTGGTTAATATCAGATTACCTTTGGCATCGCGAAGTTTGCACGGGCTTTTCCTGCCGATCGCCAAAACACGCCGCAGCTCCTTGTAACCCGCAAACTGGTAATTGTGATCCTTGGCATCCACCCTATCTTGTATTTCCGTAGCCTTTGCCACCCACCACGCGTTAATAAAGCCTCTCACCTGCTTTTTGACATCTTTGCATTTCTCCTTATACTCCTCGGACAAAAACCCGCCAGGAGCATGTAGAGCCACCTGACGTTTTTCCTGACTGAGGCGTGCTAAGTCTTCTGCATACGCTATCTTCCATTCTGGCCCCCCTCGTTTAGGTACCTCGCCAAGACAACGTTCCGCCACTTTGCACACAGCATGACCGAACAACGGGTAGCCTTCATCGAAGAAACCTTCACTCATAAGTGAGTGAAGCTGCATGTTGAAGTCATCAGACACCTTGATATCCTGAAACCCACCAACCATCAGCCTAGGAGGACGACTTTCCGGGCCTGTTTTAATGGACGACCCATAAAATTTTTGCAGCATCGCCTTGGGTGGCACCGCCATTTGCAAACGCAAAAAACTATGATCCGTATTGTGTACATACCCCGGCATGACCCTCACATCCGTAATCAAACCCAGAGTTTGTCGGGAAGAGATTACGTGATCAATCTGAAACCAACGCCGTGACGACTGATGAAACCACGTGCCGTACTCCCTGTGCTGAAAGAAAGTGCTCGCCACGCGAAGTTGTTTCTTACTTCGGCTTGCACAAAAATCCAAAAGCCTGACACCATTGTCATTACGTTCAAGTAACCCGTGTCCGCCCACCATTTCATGCACCATAGGTGATTCTTCTGATGAATCCTCACTCGCCAATCCCACTCGTGCATTAAAGTCGCCCAAAATAACTATTTCATCTTTCTGCGGGATTTGATCAACCATTTTGCCCAGCGCCTCGTAGAAATCTTCCTTCTCCTCGTCGGGACAACGGAACGTAGGAGCGTAACACGAAATAACGCTGAAAAAACGCCCCCTAACGCAGAGCCTAATCCGCATCAACCGACCGCCACCATACTCACAGAACTGATCCGCATCTTTCCACGCCCTCTGCATGTCGCTGTTCAACAAAAAGCCGACACCCTGCATTGCCTCCTGAGAAGAGAAACAACCATTCATC